TAGGCCATGAGTCATTCACTCACCTCCAGCCCCTTTCCCCTCTCTAGAGTTCAGTGGGTTGAAGTGGAAAGTTGCAACCCTCTGACCACATGGTTGATTCCTCTGGCAACTAGCCTTCATCCTGAGATTATTTAGAAGCCCTCCATCACAAGTCATCTCATTAGCATACAAACAGATCATCACTTGAGAGATTCCAAAGGTTTTAGGAGCTGTGTGCCAGGAAATGGGGCAGAGACCAAATATTTCTCGACCTATGAACCAGGAGGTCACAGTTTGATTACCAGTCAGGGCACATGCCCGGGTTGTGGGCTCAGTCCTCAGTGTGAGGTGTGCAGGAGGCACCAATCAATGATTCTCTCTCATCATCATCATTCTCTCTCTCTCTCTCTCTCTCTCTCTCTCTCTCTCTCTCTTCCTCTATGAAATCAATAAAGATATTTAAAAAATAAAAAAATACTTTTATTAGAGCTCATAAAATACATTTTTATTTTCAGGGAGAAGTTGCTGAAGTTACATTTGTAGGTGCTAACCCAAAGAATTCAGCAGAAAATCGGGTAAGTATCAATGATTCTTTTTATAAATTTAAATTCACCATTTAGCCTTTCATACAGTTGACTATCCCTTTGGTTAACAACAGGAGGATTTTGCAGGTGTGGGGGAAGTTTTAGTGGGAACAGGTAATGTGGAATTGAGTCTGGAAAATAAACATATAGAAAACATTTCGCTGGCTCTACTTAGGACCAAATATAGCACAATGAGAATGACATTGTCTCCTGAGAAGATGTACATTTAAATAAAATCTCGTCTATGTATTCCAATCTAAAAATTCAACTACATTTGGTAGAATAATCAAAGGCCCAAGAGTGCAGTGTTTCTTTGGCTCCCTCCTACTCCCTCTGGCTCCTCTCCTCCTACACTGCTGCCTCAGGTCCCGCCTCTACTGTTACGGATAATCATGGATCTCTGAGTGGGGACACTCTCCTGGCTTGGAGCCCTGATCCATGCGCTTTACTTTATCTTGCACTGTCCATTTCCTATTCTTTGCTACTGACTATAATAGGATAGTTATTTATTAATCTTAAATAATGACACATCGCTAATGTGAAAACAGATAGTATAAAAGTGCTTAAGATAGAATGTGAAAGGACCCCTCTATTCATAAACCTTTTTAGAGGTAATCACTGTTAATAGTAGGTTACATATCATTTCATACCTTTTTGTTTTATCATACATATATATATGATAAAGTGTATATATGTTATATTGTCTATTAATAAAATGAAATAATTTTACTTCTCTGCAACTCCCTTAGAGTGTTCTTGAAAGTACACAAGCAAAAACCAGACACCGTCTAGTTATAAAAATTCAAAGAATAAATAAATATAGAGAAAAAAAGGGAATGGGTATATGAAAGCGATTTCAAGATCAGACACTCTATTGATAAGCCATTCTTCCCAGGGCCCATTGTCACTTAGAAACCCAAATACCTTTCTTCCAAATGAGCCTTCCCACTTCTATTCATTAAAATATTATTATTGCTGTGATAACAATTGTGGCAATATGACATTATCTAAAGGGCATTGGGGAAAATGTTCTGCTTCGGTAATAAACATATACCTGTTTGAAATAATTTCTCTAGGCATTCAATCTATGCCAGAGATTTACATGTTCATAACATTATTTTTCTGAGGAGGGCAAAGTGTTGTAGTAAAACTGCAGGAGTAGCTATCACCTGATATCCTTAGGGTGGAGAAATGTTCTCTTCATTATCGCCATGGAGAAGCAGAAGAGCAGAATGCTTAAAGCACTGGAGTGAGAATAAAATTATTTCCTAAGAAGGCTCTGGGACTCAGCGTAAAACAGTTTCCAGTACGCTTTATTAGTAATAATCATCATATCCTCACCACTATTTATTGAAAGCTTACTATTTGCATGTACTAGGCTAAGTGTTTTAGGTACATCATCATGTGAATCTAATTTAATCCTTGCTACTATTCAATGAATTATATTTTATTGTCCCTATTTTACTGAAGCCTAGAGAGATTAAGTAACTTTTATTAAATATTAACTAATTATGTAACTGGAACAGATTAAGGTTAGGAGGTGGGGAAAGGATAGTCATATAATTCACATATGCCGTGGCCAAGACTTGTTCTCTGATTTGTACTCTAGACTTAGGAACTAGAGCCCACTCTATTTTCTACCCCATCTAAAGCACTGCACCCCCCTCCCCCCGCAATGTCCCTCTGCTCTAATTGGCAAAAGAAGCTCTCTTTACATGTAATCATGGTTATAAAAACTTCTTTATTGAATATAGTCCAGCAGTTGATTAACTAGAAAATAATTTGAAATAATCCCCTGGCCCAGCTGTAAGTAAGTGATCCATTCAGCAGAAGTTGATTCAAATACCTGCAAATGGCAGGTATCATGGGCTGTGATGGAGAAAGGTGGAGTAGATACAAGTCATGCCCTTAAGGACAACAATATAAGATTTTTTTTGGTGGCAAAATGGAGATTTATGGCCTTTATAGCATTTAATTTGTTATATTATTCAAATCTGTGCTTTATCTGAAGCCGAATTCTTGGTCTGAAAGAAATTATTATAGCCATTTTCCAATGGGAAAATAAAATTTGCTTATGATGAGATTTCTAGAAATCCATGACAAAATACAGGAATTTCTTTTAGCACCCCAGGATAGAGAGGATTTATGCATTCTTTTCAATTCTTTCACTTGGGAAGGCATATTTACTAATAATTCATATACCTGGAGTTGGAAAGATGAGGAGACCCTTTTTTCCCTCCTAAATCTTGAGGTGACTAGGGAAACTCTTGGAATATGAGTCAATTAACCTGTCATGAAAAGGTTTGATTTATGCCTTTTTGAAATCTCAAGTTTTATTCTGTCTCTTCTCTGCCCCCATTACCAAAATTTGCTATCAGCTCTGAAATTATGCTTTATTCAAATTTCTTTAAAAAGTCATGGTTTTTTAATAGACTGGATAAATTAACATTCTACAGATATTGCATCGAATGTTAAGAGGAACACAATAAGAATTTGGGTGAAATTCTAATACGTTTTTTACTCAAGGTATTGCTAGGTTAGCACCAAGTCAACAAGGGGAGTATTCACAGACAGGGTCCTTCTGTGACTGTTCAGTGTCTGATCAGTTATGTTAATTGCATTTCAGACCCATCAGACTTTTCTCACTGTGGAGAAATATGAGGACGCTTCAGCGACATGGCAGGTGGTACATAATGATGCCTCCTGGGAGACTCGGTGAGCATGTCTATTGAATATTTTGTCTTTCAGGTCTTGAAAACAGTTGGTTAGTAATGTAGGGAAGACAAATGGGAAGACTGGCTCAATACATGATATTAATGATAGCAAATTCCCAAGGAGCTGTCCGGCCATATTTAGTTGATTTATTAGACCTCATTTTGATTCTGTTTTTCTACAAAACGGTGGTGTGTGCCTCTGGAAGATTAGGTGCTAATGAGGTTATGGCCTCCATTCTCATAAACATCTGTTAATTTTTTTTCCATAGTCAAAGACATTACTCCTAAAATCTGTCTAGCCTTCTTGCAAATTGGTTGAAAGGGGTGCTGGGTGAAGGTGATGAGAGAGCTCTGTAGAGCCTGGCATTCCTTCTGGAAAAAGAATGTGTCCATACCCAACAAATATGGTGTGTTTATATGTAGTCCAGGATTCTTCATTTGAATTACCGAAACACAGGAGCTGAGTGTTTACCTCAGAAAGAAGTACGCTCAGGGTCTTCAAAAGACACATTGCTGTGCCTTTTGTTACCAAATGCCTGAGCTGACTAGATATTTTGAAGATTAAAAACGTGTCTAAAATAAGAAAATGTTTCTGTTCCCAGTCTTACAAATTTCACCACAGGACAGTGGCATGGAAGTGGGGGACATTTTTGGCAATTTGTTTCTAATTCAGATCACCTTAAACTAAGTGATTATTGCATATTGGTTTGGTTCACATGGGTAACTGAAAATAGAGATTTGATAGCCATACCTAAATATGGGTATACCTTTTTCCTCTGATCTTTAGGACTCTAGGGCAGTGATGGCGAACCTTTGGAGCTCGGCGTGTCAGCATTTTGAAAAACCCTAACTTAACTCTGGTGCCGTGTCACATATAGAAATTTTTTGATATTTGCAACCATAGTAAAACAAAGACTTATATTTTTGATATTTATTTTATATATTTAAATGCCATTTAACAAAGAAAAATCAACCAAAAAAATGAGTTCGCATGTCACCTCTGACACGCGTGTCATAGGTTTGCCATCACTGCTCTAAGGTATAGGTGGCTTAAAAACAAGGAGTAAATACATATTTATTGTTAACATAAGGTTATACAGATAGTAAAAAAAGGATGATTTATTTTCAAAAGCCCCAAATCAGAATAGCAGTCCACACAGAGATGATGTCTAGCTCTCTGCTTTGTTCTTCAGCAGCAGCAGATCAAGAGCACCAAGCTTATTACTGAGAAACAGAATGTTGAGTCCAGGGGATTTACTCTCTACATAACTGAGGATATCAGTCAATTAGAGCATCCTGTCTCACTGTATCTAGAAGAGAATCTGAACCCCGTGTCCTGGTCTATAAGGACCAGTGTGATTTGACTCCGTCTGTTTCTGTCATCTTAACCACACCTCCACAGTTTACTCTGTCCTAATTCCACTGACCTGCGTCCTGTTCCTTGGTTGTACCAAGTTTGTTCCTGCTTCAGACACTTTGCACTCTCTGTCCCCTCTTCCTTTAAACATGTGCGGGCTCAGTTTAAATGATACCTCCTTAGAGATACCTTTCTTACTGATTTCACATATCAGTTTTAAGGTTATTTGTGGTTTACTTGCTTATTGCCTTTCTTCTATCATTGAGAAACACAGAAACTTTGGACCATGTCTGTCTTGCTCACTACCGTGTCCTCAGAATAGAGTCTGGCACATATGCCATTAGAAGTGTCAGTTAACGCAGAGGATGACAAGGGCTAAAGGGTGCTATAGCAGTTCTAAAGCAGGAGACATCCGTCTTCTGAATATCAGATAAGCCTTCCTGGGATGGCTAGAGTTTAGGTCATTAGAAGATGGAACAAGCAAAGGTATTTCTACAAATGGCTGTTCCCTAAAGGTCCTTCTATAGGAAGGAAGTATTTATCTCTTTTCTGTTCATTGCTATACTCTGAATATCTAGACCAGTGCCTTGTTCATATTCATTTAATGAGTAATCATATGTTTTTCTAACCTCACATTTTTTTAAGAATAAAATTGGATTTGTTTGTTTGTTTCCTACCAACAGTTTCTATTGGCACAAGGGATTACTGGGTCATAGCAATGCAACGATACAATGGCATATTCCAGATACTGCCAAGCCTGGGATCTACAGAATAAGATACTTTGGACACAATCGGAAGCAGGACTTTCTCAAGCCCGCTGTCATACTTTCATTTGAAAGTACTTCCTCTGATTTTGAAGTTGTAACTACTTAATGAAAAGTTGACACAGCATTTAAAGTTTTGCTCTGTATAAATTATGTCACTGATTTTATATGAATGTAAACTATTCTGATGACTTCTATAGTTGTCCCAGTTTGGAGTTTACTGCTAATGGGACAGAGGGGTGTGTGTGTGTGTGTGTGTGTGTGTGTGTGTGTGTGTGTGATATGTATGTGTTCCATTTACCTTGCTCTAGCAATTTTTACCTCATGGTCTACAGCATGATTTCCCTTGGGAACTTGTGGCTGTTTAAAGCAACAGTTCTCCCTATATAAAGCCTCTGAAATGTAAGAGTGGTTAAAGATGTGTGAACAAAGTTTAAACTATTTATTTATAGAGTTATTGAATGTTAGCACTGGAAAAGCTTAGAGAGATCACCTAGTTTGACCCTTCATTTTGCAAATGGGAAACATAAAATTTTATGGATTTAAGATTAGCATAAAGCTACCTGACCTTTCCCATCAGTCACATTTAAAGAACAGTATATAAATATCGACCATAAATATATAAGCCCTGTTAGAGAAAGTAGCATGAAAACTAGCATGCCAGTGTTTCTGTATTGAGCACTGCCTTTCAGAGCAGTCACTCTGGGGTTGATGTGCCCAATCCAGGTTTATCGTTGATGCACAAATCATTTCTGGAATTGCCTTCAGAGCCCACTTACAGAAAGTGAGACTTGTAATATTTGGATTATGCCTTGTGTTTCCCTAAGTGCCCTTATCCCACTCAATTGTATCTCTTATTCCCAAGACTTGTTCTCGGTGATTTTTGACCATTCTCACTTATCCAATTTACTCCCCAAACCACAAAGCTTTGCTTTTAGTGTAGATATTAAAATGAAAGTGATGTTGACTTAGAAGGGAGTCCTCAAAGGGGAGGCTTTAAATTCATGTTCTTCTATCGCTCACTCACTCACTTGGTTATGGACCCATTCAATCATGACATATTTATTAAGACCTATTCTCATACTCAGCATTGCACAAGTGTCTGGTACAATGACAGTTGGTGAGCTCAATTTGTGAGACCATATTTTGGATGAATGTATAATTATCAAAAGGTGGCTATTTTGTAGGAGAAAATAATCAATTTAAAATATAAATTCTGGGGAGGCATTTAAAAACCAGTAATCTTCAGGTATATCCTCTGTGTTGGGTACTCTAATTTTTTGAAAAAGAGGCTTCAGACAACTTGGAAAAAGCTGTTTTGAAGTTATGTTGGGGCATTACAAAATACCCAGCCCAATGTCCAAAAGAATGAGATAGGACAATCTGACATTGATCGCTGGAAAGTACTAATTGCATTTAAAGTTATCCAAGTTAACTAGTTGCCTCAAGGCTATTAAATAAACTTCCAGAAACCAAGTCATGTTTTGTGTGTGTATAAAAGATTCCGCATTTTAGGGAAAAAATCAATATTTCAAAAACAAACTTTAAAGCTTGAAAAAGAGTAATAGGAATAATGATAATATTAACGCCCATGTTTGTAGGACTTGAACATGCAGGAGAGTGAACCTGGAACATTTTTTAATGAATCAGTCCTCTGCAGGCTGTTTCTATGGAAATGAACTGCTGGAGAATTAGCTAATCAGGATTTCAAATGTGTAGCACTCATTTTCCCTAACGACCTCCCAGTAACTAGTGAAAAAGTTCAGAGGTCTAAAAGAGCAGGTAATTCTCAAAGGAGTTGACCCTAGACAGATAAGTCGTATTAGAACTCATGATATGATTGTTAAAGGTATTTCTCATGACTCAGAAAAGTTTTTGAATGATTTTCTCCCTTCCTCCCCCACCCCCCAACCCCAAGCTTCCCATTGAAGGTTTCCTCAGTTGGCCAGTGATTCCCTATTGTTTACTTGCAACTGTGCCCAGGCGGCCTTGGCATTGCCTGTTGATGATCCTCCTGCACCCAGTCCTCTGTCCAGTACGCTTGGCCCCAAGCAATCCACAGAAATCTGTTTTGTCACTAACGGCCGTTTCTTCCAACTCCTGCAGTTCCATTGCTGCAGTCTGTGTGTAAATGTAAGAACAAATACCTGCATTGCAGATACCACAGATTCTTTGGAGCATAAAAGAACACCATCAAGAGGCTGATCTGGTCTGTTCATGTCAAAACATAGACTCAATCTGTGTCTGTGGCTGCTGCTTCTTGGAGCCAAACCATGTGAAGAAAACTCCTGAAATGAGTGGAGAATGTGGAAAAACAGGGGATTGGGTTGGTGGGAGAATTCTTCTGGAGAAGGTTTTGTTTCTTGTGACAAAGTGTCTGTGTTTTGTTTGTTGTACTCTGTCTAGTTTTAAGGATGCTGTGATATCTTCAAAAAGGACTGAATAATCCCTCTATATTTTTCAATAAGTATTGCATAAATTGTCAGTATTCAATAGAATGTTTAATAAAATAATAATTACACTGGAGAAAGTGTTTTCTATAATGACAGGTGATGTAGATGAATGAACACTTTTTTCCCCCCTTCTTTTTAAGAGGTGGAACAAATGGTGATGGATTCCATGTAAATCAGGTTGGAAAGTGATATAAATGGCTTTGTAAGTAACCACCCAAACATAAGGGAACCACTTCATCAGTTCCTTCCTGCCCTCCAAAGATTTACTGCTGGCAAAATACATATGGTTGACATTTTTTACTACTAGGGCAACTGAGAGTTTCCTAGACAGACTTGGACTGAATTATGGCTGCGGTATTGTCCCTTGTTTATGAAATGGTGTTGGTAATAATAACCTTTCATGATTGCTATGGACTTGTGTATGTTAATGGTTAAGAGAAAATATCCTGGAAACTTACTGGTTCAAATTCTAGTTGCCATTTATTCAGTGTCAGATCCTGAGTAAATGACTCGATTTCTTAATGCCATAGTTTCCTCATGGGTCTCAATTTCTTTTATAAAATGAGAACAATAAAGTACTTACTCTTTTCATTTGTGAGGGTAAGTTAAGGTAAAGTTGTTGGTGCAGTGCGTGGCATATGATATGTGCTTGATTTACTTAGCTGTTAATTAACTTACCTGTCACTGAGTGATATGCAAGATGATGCATTTGAGTATCTGGAAAAGAGTAGGAAATAAAAATTCCTCCATCAAGAACTGAATCTATGATTTGCCCCAAAGACATTATCTGTTTCCTGATATTTTTCAGAGTTGTATTTTTGACATCTCTGATATTAATGTAGGAAGAATTGGAATGGGGTGGGGTTAACTGAGGCTATTAGAATTGTCAAGACCCAGAGATAATGGAGGCCAGGCCAGGGTCAGAAGGTGGGATGGTATGAAACTCTATAGTTGAAATGGACATGACTAGATGGAGATGGGGAGAAAGACTTTAAAAACAATGAAAACCCTGAAACATTGTTTGGGTGATAGTAACAGTATAAACAAGAGCCAAACAAAGAAGATAATTTCAGATGGATGATAGTAAATCTAGTTTGGGATGTCAACACTTGATCTTAGACATCTAGTCTTCAGTTCTATGAGCCAATATACGTGTTGTTTAAGGCACCCCATGTTTGGGATTTTGTTATGGAAGCCTTGGGAAATGAATATGCTGACCAATGGATTAATTTTCACCCCTTTAGGCATCTGCCAAAGAGGTTCTTGGGTGCTTTCCAGTTTAGAGGACATAGTAATTATGTCTGTACTTTACTCTCCTAAATAACATGGTCACTTTATGGCAACCGTTCTCATCTATCATTGGTTGCCTATGACTGTCATCTATCACTGTCAAGGACTATAGTAAACTCTGAACTTAATTTACATATTATAAAAAGCCAAGTGAATCAGCTACGATGAAGCTCTAAGATTTTATGGAGAATGAACATTCTATTAATTTTGGAAATTGATCTTTTATGGCTTATGGGCAAGATCATGAATATCAATTATATATTTATAAGATGACAGAATCAGGACAAATGTAATTATGCATATTTATTCTCAGGTCCTATTGAACTGAGCTATTTTTTTCCTCTCCAATTTATTATGTAAATATTATAAGCTCTGCAGCAAATATAGGACAGGTCAGTGTAGAATCGATCTTTCTGTTTACATGGAGACAAAGCCAGAAAGAAATCATGATATACTTTAAAAATTTGGTAGTGCCAGTTTTAAATTAAGGCAAAAAAAGGTTATGTTCATGTTGTACTAGTAGAAAGCATTGCAAAAAAGAGTAACTGAGGTTTTTTTCTCTGTGAGTGATTCACATATGGCTAAGTAAATGACTACTTAATTAGATTCCCACCAACAGTGCACAAGGGTTCCCTTTTCCCCACATCCTTACCCACACTTGTCTTTTTGATAATGACCATTCTAACAGGTATGAGGTGATATCTCGTTATGGTTTTGATTTGCCTTTCCCTGATGGTTAGTGATGGGAGCACTTTTTATATCCCTGTTAGCAAGATGTGTGTCTTCTTTGGAAAAATGTCTGTTCAGATACCCTGCCCATTTTTTTTGGGGGGGGGGTTTACATGTAGTCTATTGCTTCATCTGATGACTTTATTATTACATATGTAAAAGTTTAGCATACCATGTACTTTAGTTAGAGAGGAAACTATCTTGTTGATTTTTTTACTTTATTGATTAAGGTATTAACATATGAGTTCTTTTTTTTTTATAGTAAAGGTGGAAATTTATTAAAGAACAAATACAGACTCCCACGGGGGGAGAGGGAAAGTCCCACAGAATGGACTCCCACTTGGGGAGGGGGAAAGGATCCCACTCAACATATGAGTTCTTATTGCCCCATTGCTCCCCCCCAACTCATGACCTCTCCCCCCTGTTGTCTGTGTCCATTGGTTAGGCTTATATGCATGCATACACGTCCTTTGGTTGATCTCTTCCCCTTACCCCCACCCTCCCCTACCTTCCCTCTGAGGTTTGACAGTCTGATCGATGCTTCTCTGTCTCTGGATCTGTTTTTGTTCATCAGTTTATGTTGTTCATTATATTCCATAAATGAATGAGATCATGTGATATTTGAGTGAGAGTCAGGAGGCCTGGATCCCTGTCCTGGTTCTGTCATAAAGCATCTGGGAAGCATTTGGATCAGT